CAGAGGAAAGGCTGATTATTCAATTAGGTTCTCTTCCTCCAAATATTTTTTCGCTTTTTATGAACTGTGTACCTTAAAAAAAGTACCAAATATTCAAGATTGGAGGGAGACTGAATATGCCATGGAATAATCATATCGGTCAACCACTGATCTAAATATTTGTGGGGACCAGCGCCCTTAATGTCTACACTGGTTACAACATATCATGTATCAGTCTGCTCTGTATAAGTGCTCTGTAAATGTGCAGTTATTCATAGTGGGGAAAAATTAGTCTAATTATCAGATTAGAATGATATTTGAACAAATCCATAATTGAGTAACATATTAAACACCCTCTGTTTAACCTCGTTGATTTGGGCACCATTTTCTCATTTTAAATTCAAACTTTCAGCCTTGACCCATGAACGAAAAACGAAAATTTAAGCTGAATTCTCGTTTCTCGTTTTTTGGAGAAAAACAAAAAAACGAAAAAGGAGCCGTTTTCTCATTTTTCTACTTTCAATATTAAATAAAAAAACGAATGATCGAATGATACACGGATTGATCAGCATCCCATTATACTATATTTCTTCAGGTCAAAGGTAAGTTCACAACCCCTGTGAGATGAATATGGGAAAGGGTCCATTAAAGGGCCATTATAGTTCACCCAAAAATGAAAATTATGTCATTAATTACTCACCCTCATGTTGTTCCAAACCTGTAAGACCTTTGTACTGTAAATACCAACAAAAAAAAGATACGAAAAAAGTTGCTAAACACTGCTTTTATATAAAATTAAAATAACTGGATTTAGCAAATTAAGGCGACATAAACCCTTAAGACTAATTTCAAGTACATGTTGAGACAGCCTTTCACAACAGAAGAACAAAGAAAAAGAAAAGGGGCGGAAATGGAAAGCAGGCTTTTTTTCACTATTGCTTCAAGCTATAATTTTTTTGCACTTTTTTTAGACACGATTTAATACATCAGAGAGGAGGTGCAGAGGGTTTCAATCAGTGTTTAATTAGTAAACTAGTAATTGCATCACTTCTGGCAATAACAGAAAGCCATCTGTAGAATCTAGTGTCTGAGATTTGTGAATGAGTTATACCGGTCAGGTGTGAATGGAAGATTAGGGTTGTGGGGGGTGTCAGAAAATAATGGGAGTCATTGTAGTGATGAGGGTGAGCAGAGTAACCATGGAAACTGCTGTCAGGATGGAGACAGGTTTGAAGACGAGAGTCATGGGAGTGTCAGAAGGCTCTATATAACCATATGCATGTATAGTAATTTACATGAATTATACATGCACACATGCAGTACGTTTCAAACAGATAACCTATCGGATTAGGACAACGTGGACCTAGTTAAACTCATTTTATAAGAATACACAAAGCTGGTGTCCGTTATACCTGTGCAAGATGAAAAACCAGATGACCTTAATACTTGCGTCACACGCTGACTCTGGACAGAAATATTCGAAGATGTGACGTTTGCTTGCGCGCATACGCAAACCCAGACAGAACTGATTAACGTGCGCACAGCACACACACTCGCTCTGAGATTAATGTTGTCCCCCAGCACAAGAGAGCACAGCTCATTAATTCATAAAGCATGTTCTGTGGAGGCCTGTTCAACCCAGGACACCTTAAACCACATGCACAGACCCCAAACACACCAGCACTTCCTCCCCAGGCTCTCCCATGGATACAAAAACTACCGCTACATGTTTTTCTTAAGGGCACCAAATAACTGCCTATCCCAGCTGGCTGAACAATTAAACAATAAAACAAGACAAGGGTTGTGAATCATCTCCTGTGCACGCCTCTGAGGGAAGTTAGGGGGCTACGGCTCTCCTTTAACATAAAACCCAATCAGCCTCTGTTCACCACAATAGAGAAAGCAGAAATTCACTGGATGATATTGAAATTTTAAAGTGACTACTTTAAAATGAATTAAAAATAAAACACTACAAAATATAATCAGTCATTTTAAATGCTACAAGGAAATTTATTAGTGCTGTCAAACGATTAATCGTGATTAATCGCATCCAAAATAAAAGTTTTTGTTGACATATTTGTGTGTACTGTTTATTTATTACATATATATAAATACACACACATGTTGTGTTCATTTGTGTTATCTTTTACTAATATTTAAATTTGTTTGATGATCTGAAACATTAAAGTGTGACAAACATGCAAAAAAATAAGAAATCAGGAAGGGGGCCACTGTAAATATATTTAATACATAAACATTTTTCTTAAATATATACATGCATGTGTTTGTATTTATATATACAGTACATAATAAATATACACAGTACACACTCATATATTATGTAAACAACAACTTTATTTTGGATGCGATTAATCGTTTGACAGCACTAAAATTTATATATCACAATATCATAATGCACAGTGTGAAAAATTTCAAGAACGGTTCAAGCAGGGGACCAGAGACCAGGGCTCGAGGGGGTTTAAAATAAAACACAATTTAAAGCTTAAACAACTAGTCTAAATAGCAAGATGTTTCTTGTTTTAATTTACCTCCTTTTTCTGTTGAAGAATTATGATTCCCATGGTCTTGGAAAACTTTCATATACAGTAAAAGTAGCCTGATTAAGTAAAGTGTGATTTCTAGACTTGGAAAATTCTAGAAGTGATTAAATCTTACAAATAATGATCCCATTTTATATTAGGTGGCCTTAATTACTATGTACAGTATATACATCAAAAGGTAAGTATGATTTACTTATTGTGTTCATATTGTATTGCAAAACACTTTTGCTGCTATTGAGATGGGATATAATTGCATGCATTTTATAAAATATAAGTATAATGTAAAACATCTATGTACACAATAAGTGTACATCTGGAATCATGAAATTGAATTACTTTATGAAAATCATAAATTATTAAATTTTTGTCATCATTTACTCACCCTCAAGACACTTCAAACATGCATGACTACCTTTCTTCAGTGGAACACAAAATATTAATAATAATTAAAAAAAAAATTGTCATTCATACAATGAAAGTCAATGGGGTCCAATGTTGTTTTGGTCCCATTGACTTTCATTGTATGGTTGACTTACATTTCTGGTTCCCACAACCCTAAAAATGTGGATACATTCTTGCTTGAAGGCTTAAATGTGGCTTAGAAATGCACTTGGCTAAGAACTCTTCACATGCTTTGATTATTGTTGGGAGTACAGGGCGCACAGGGTGATCAGGCACAGGCGGGGGAGTTGCATTCAGAGTCTGTAAAGAGTTTTGGATCAATACCATCATTCTGCTAAAAGTCACTTATGTTTTGCGTGAAGTGAATGAGATTTACACATGTGATAGCAGACAGACACATCAGCGTCGATTCGGTGACTCACTGCAATATTGACTTTAGCTGAATCAACACAGCAAGTCATTGCTAACCAAAGCACAACCTTACAATAACGACCAATAATTCAAACAATATCTGGTGTGATTATGTTTCCAGCAGGTCGAACACACCTTGGCACAGACAGCGGCAATAAAGGGTAATGATTAATCCACTCAAAACCTTCGGCTTTGACAAGGGTGATGTGAGAGTAGAGTTCAGGTCATACTTCGAAGGGAGAGGTTATTATGCGAGTATAGGAGAGCATAAGTCTTAAGTGGACGTCCATGACATTCGGAGTCCCACAAGGCTCAATTCTTGCACCGCTCTTGTTTAGCCTGTATATGCTCCCACTAAGTCAAATAATGAGAAAGAACCAAATTGCCTATCACAGCTATGCTGATGATACTCAGATTTACCTAGCCTTATCGCCAAATGACTACAGCCCCATTGACTCCCTCTGCCAATGCATTGATGAAATTAACAGTTGGATGTGCCAGAACTTTCTTCAGTTAAACAAAGAAAAAACCGAAGTCATTGCATTTGGAAACAAAGATGAAGTTCTCAAGGTGAATGCATACCTTGACTCTAGGGGTTTGACAACAAAAAATCAAGTCAGGAATCTTGGTGTGATTCTGGAGACAGACCTTAGTTTCAGTAGTCATGTCAAAGCAGTAATTAAATCAGCATACTATCATCTCAAAAACATTGCAAGAATTAGATGTTTTGTTTCCAGTCAAGACTTGGAGAAACTTGTTCATGCCTTTATCACCAGCAGGGTGGACTATTGTAATGGTCTCCTCACCGGCCTTCCCAAGAAGACCATTAGACAGCTGCAGCTCATCCAGTACGCTGCTGGCAGAATTCTGACTAGAACCAGAAAATCTGAGCATATCACAACAGTTCTCAGGTCCTTACACTGGCTTCCAGTTATATTTAGGATTGATTTTAAAGTACTTTTACTCGTTTATAAATCACTCAATGGCATAGGACCTAAATACATTGAAAATACGTTCACTGATTATAAACCTAACAGACCACTCAGATCATTAGGATCCTACACTGTAAACCCGAACAGTACTACTAACTTATAAAGATTAAGAACACTGCAATTAAAGTCTGTTAAATCGTTGATGCAACTTGTAACAATTACATTTTCTGAATGAGGAATTTAGTTTTATTTTTGTGTGGCTCAACAGTTGAGTAAACTTTTCTATTTAAATTATTATTTTTAAGTTTACTGAGTAACGTAAAGTGACGTCACCTCGTTGCTCTAACCGACGTTCAGAAGAATCCATTCAACATGGCTGAGACTCGCAAGTGACCGGAGCAAACTTAATATGATCTTTAAAAAAGCATCATATGACCCCTTTAATGTCAAAGAAGGGCACTAATGTTAACGTTAGCCGGCATTTTTTCAGTAAACGCAGTCCTAACTTATGTTTTGAATGTCGCTGATGTTAACGGCAATGTTTAGGGCTGCATTTCTCAAAAGCATCGTGAGCTAAGTTGATTGTTGAGACCATTTGGTGGCAAATGTTTCTACGATCATCTTAGCCATACAATGCTTTTTTTGGGAAATGCCCTGGTAAATGTGATTTTTATTTGGTCTGTAGTAAATCTTTACAAACTTTCTTTAATTGCAGGCTGAGCTGGATGATGAATACAAAAGAGTGAGCCTCAACACAAGGTAACTTCTATTCAGTTGAAGAGCAAGTTGTGAGATGTGTCCTCACATAACAGGATACAGACTCGGCTTTCTCTTTTCTACATCGATTGTTGGTTATACACTTACTTGTGCGTGTCTGTGGTTTTCTAGGTTTGTGCCGAGTTTCACCATATCAGAGAAAGTGGCACACACCAGCAAGATTTCACAGATGTTGCATGACATTCGAAATGTTTGATCTTCAGGTGAGTGCAAATTCACAAACACTAACTACCTCCATCACTGTCTTCATTGTATATAAAATAAAGTTGGCCTGCTTGTTTAACGAGGTTTTTTTGTTTTTGTTTACATGATGTCAACATGCTCTCCCAGTGTACGTGTGTGAGGAGAACTGTTCTTCAGGACATGAAATGTAAGTATTAAGTGCATTAATAGATCTGAAATAGAGTTGGGGAACTATGACGTCAGAACCAGGAAGTGTAATTCGCCACGGATTCCTTTGAAATTTTCCTATGGGGTTTTTTTTAATGGGGTTTTTCAATTTATGAATAAAATAAAGCCTGTGGTAAACATAACTTGACGATACTTCTACGTTTTGTTCTACAATATAAACTGCACACACTCACAGCCTAAACATTCTTATCTAGCTACTTATTAAAAACATACGTTTTCAAAAATGAACATAACTGCTTCAAAATTAGTATTTTGGGTATGGATGTGTGTAATTTACGTTGTACAACAAAACGTAAAAGTATTGTCAAATTATGTTTACCACAGGCTTTATTTTAATTGAAAACCCCCATTATAAAACCCCATAGGAAAATCTAGAAGGAACCCACGGCGTATTACTCTTCCGGGTTCTGACTTTATAGTTCCCCCACACTATTGGCAGTAAATATAAATGTCTACTTTTAGTCTCTGAAGTTAAAGTTAAAGTTTTACCATCTGTGCTTATTCCAGGAGGAATTGGGCGAGCCAGACATCACTGACACAAACATCTCTCCTGCTGATTTTGTTATCATGGACAACGAAACCACTACAAGTCCTGCAAGCACTGCAGTTGTGATGAGATGATCTTCCAGTGTTTAACATTCAGAAATACACAGTTCATGCAGTTTAAAAAAGGCTGAATAAAAAAATCCTCAATTGTATAGCCACAGTTGTGCGTGTTTTTTATGCATAAGTGTATTTTTTTTTTGTTAGTATTTGTATTTAATAAAGCACTACTGAATTAAAATAATTGGTAAATGAAAAACATTACATATGATAAACAATAATTTTAAGTACACTGTACTTAAACATTAAGCAAAAACAAATTTAAGCTTTTTAGTTTGACTTAATTGTTATTTATAAATAATGTTAACTTTAAAAATTTGAGTTTCTTAATTACATTTTTTTGAGGTAATCGGTGTCCACAAAAATTGAGTATTCTGAACTTATCGGGTTTTACAGTGTATTCTTAACTGTTTTAAATTCATTTTAAACCTCTTAAATAAATTTTTTTATAATTTTCAAAGTTTTAAATTCCTTGTTTTATTGTTGTGATTATTGTTTTATTTATTATTTTTTCATTTCTTTTATGTAAAGCACTTTGAATTACCATTGTGTATGAAATGTGCTATATAAATAAACTTGCCTTGCCTTGCCTAGAAAAACAGAGGAGAAGAGCAGATGAATCAGACTTTGTAAAGCAGGGGTGCCGTGTCCGCACAGAGGGCAGTAGTTTAAGAGCTCAGGTGGAGATAAATCGTGATACGTTCACACCTGAAATGAGTGTCTGAAGGTCAGCCAGGATCAGCAGTATCCTGAGCAGTTAAACAATTGATGGATGTGAAGTAGAGACGGGCATCTTCAGGCCTGGCTGAGTTTTCTAATTTGTACAGGCCTGTTGATAAATGGAACAGAGATGTGTGTAATTTAAAACACTGCCGCAGTACAGTGTGTTTGTCACTTCAACATGACAAGAGTGAGTGAGAGGTAGAGCCTGAGAGGAAGCCTTAAAAGAACAGTTCACCTCAAAATTTCTCTCATCATTTACTCACCCTTATGACGTTTTGGTTTAGAACAAGATGAGGGTGAGTAAATGATGAAAGAACTTTCATTTTTGTGAGAACTATCCCTTTAAACTCCACACTGCACTAAATAAACTTTAGAATTTAGTTATTAAAAAAAAACAGGACACAATTTGGGAGCTCAAATTTGTAAATGCATTTAATACCTCCTAGACTAGTCAATCAAAAGCATGCTGCATCTCTAAATGAGGTTATTATTTTAAATACACTTTTAAAATGTTTGTAATTTTTGCAGGAAAATTAAAACGAAAAACTTCACATCGCTCCATAGCACAAGCTTCTTTGCATCTGCAGCTAATAGAATATTTTTGTAAAAAATCTATATTGGTAAAATATCTAGTTTAGTCATGGCACTGGCTGATTTGTCTCTTTTGCATCTGCAGCTAAATGAGCTTGCTTGCGCAATTTTTTAAGTCTGGTTCAGTGTATTCTTTAAGCAGGTTTTTGCAACTCGCTATCAGAAACCCTCCACCTCCCCCAGCTCCACCTGTATAGATCTGCTAGTGGGTAATTTCATGTATGCTATTTGTGCGGCAACAGTATATCTTACATGCTTATAGAAACTTGCCTGTAAATGTAATGGCAGTAGCAAGTCTCGCCAAAACCCAAATACATTAACATTTCCATATCCATCACATGCTAAACTATTCCAAGAGTTTTCACGATTTAATTCTAAGTTACTTTACCATATACTATGAAAAACTGTAAACAATTTAACATTACATTGTGGAATTTTACAGTAAAATACTGTCAAATTTTTAGTTTTTAGAAATGCCACAAAGGGGTTTGTGTTACATTCTCTATTATTTTTGTAAATGTGTGTTACTCTGATGGTGTTTGTCTTGTATATGGCCCTATGCAACGTATATGTACAAGTACTGGCCATGGAGAGGCCACTTACAATGAACTCGGATTCATCATGTAGCTTTTGATTGTACAATCAGTATTACTATGATAATTCCTAGCACATTAAGCATAGAAATATATGGTTGAAAGTTGTAAAATATACACGTATCACATAATAACGGAGACACGGCCACAGTTTTTTTGTTTTTTTTACTGTAAATCTAATGAGATTTATTTTACAGTGTATTGTATTTAGTGTTATATAAGATTTATTTATCTATAAAACAGGGCTGCGTTCAGCCCCGACAAAACGGTGCTAAACGGTTTTTAAACAGAAACGTTGGTGCGTTGAACACCCTGTTCTGATGACGCAAGAGTTGCAACTATGGCAGCTGAGAAGGCCATTCTTTGTGTTCTTTTTGAAGAATTTTCGGAGCCTGATGAAATCGGTATAAATACGTGTTTAATACTGCAAAATACGCTCGATTTAACAGTCACTGCCCTTGCCGTCCAGAATAAAAGAGAACATCCCAATCGAGTGAAGGGATTTGTGGAAACTGTGGTTCCTAATTATTGTGATCCAACATTTGCCTCGCATTTCAGGATGAAAAGACAAACATTTCAGGTGAAGAATAATCCACTTCTTACCACTGTGTTATGATCTATATGGCCTTATTATTTTATTATATTAGGCTTATCATTACTGCTGATCACTGTTGTTGTGCCATGTTATTGTAATATTTACCATTATATCATCAGAGGAATATAGAAAAGTTTATGAAAGTGTCACTCCACAATACAATAGCAAAATATATAAATATGTATAGTATTTTTATGTTACATTAATCAGTGTCTAGCACACCTTCCTAAGGAAAGGACATGGACCAGAAGACATTGCAATTACTAAATGATATTTAGACAGACTTAAAGAAGTTCCAGATCTATACTAATTACATTGTGCAAGCTGTCTCTTTAATACCACGTGGTTTATACACATGCTGCTGCTGATTGGGCTGACATTTTTGACACATCCACCAAACAAGACAAAATGTATCTCAAACCCCGTTGCACATCGTTTCCAGGAAACATGTCGTTCAAACCGGAAACTGTAGCAAAACGTTGCGCACTGGTTTGAGCATGAACTTACCCAAGCTACACGCCGTTTTACTGGTTATAAAACAAGATCACTCCTGATTGGTCAGTGACATGGGGCAACCTTGAAACAAACACATTTTATTATCTCGCTAGCAGACATGGACAAAAACACCAGAATTTTTCTGCACGAGCTTGGCAAACAGTGCCGCTTTCAGTACCGCCTCCGTTCTGCCTCTACCCTCTCTCCCATTGAAAATAAACTGGAAACTCGCAGAAACCATGAACAGTGTAAAATGGCCCTAACAAGTCTCACGAAACAGCATCTCTGAAATAAACATTTCCTCACAGTATCATGCTGACTGAACTACACCTCTGCGAGGCCAAGACGCACAGCAGGAAACCTTGAGCCTCTGGGCAGAGATCCGTTTGCCGTTTTTGTCCGACAGTGACAGCAGGGTCACGAGGAGATTCACGCTTCGGGCCAGACAGCTGCGGGAAAAAAAAAAATCTAGCTTCAACACCTACAGACATCTGAATCTATTTCTGCCTCCACACACCATCTGTCCTGCATGAATCTGCTCGCATTGAGCGCTGCAGCCAAAAACAAATATAAACAGTCATCTAACATCTAACAGCAAAACCTAATGAACAAAACAATAAAAATGTGCATGTATTATTGGAACAGAAAAGATGAAAACAAAAAAATAACAGTTGTTAATAAAGCCATGTGATGAGCCAATTGAGATTACGACAAAAGACCAATTAGCTGCGAGAATCACAAAAATCTTGTAATGAATAATATATAAATCAACAACACATAAATGAAGCATCTCACCTTTGGGGATATTTTTAAGTTGGAGGTTAAGTTCAAAGAAAAAAATCTGCTTCAGACTGTAATTCTCTCTTATTAAAGGGATAATTCACTTATAATTGAAAAATCGTCACCATTTACTTGCCCTCAGGTCATCTTTCTTTCATAGAATTGAAAATGTTGTTTAGCTGAATGACCAGACTGCTCTTTTCCCATTATCGGAAATCAAATGGGAACTTGGGCTGCTGAGCTCCAAAAGAAAAGAAAAGCTAAACTAAACAAATACCTTTTTCTGAAGCCATATGATAATTTCATACGAGGAACATGCTGAAATTTAAGATTATTTGTTAAAAATCTTCCTCACCACCTGAGCTCTCAGATCTAATTCAACCTCAAGACTTGTGGGGAAAAGAGTAACCTGGACATTCTACCTAACATTTCCTTTTGTGTTTTACAAAGACAGAAAAAAAAAAAAAACTTGAGGAGACTCGAATAAGATGACAGTTTAAATTTTGGCTGAAGTTGCAAAACTACTCCTCTAAGGGGAGTCATAGATCATGACCTGATGGATTCAATCACTGGACTGCAAATTTGACCAGACCATCAGCAGTTACGGCAGATCACACAGATTAAGTGGATAATCAACATGAAATCTATTTAAGGTCTGTAAGTCTAAAACCACTGTAGGCTGAGCCATCATTAGCTGATGGGGCTGCAAGTGTTTTTTTCCCTGCAGCAGTCCAGTCAAAGCCAAATTTATACAAGAAATCTCAGCGTAAACATATTAATGTTTTATTAAGACGAAACCCTAGCTGTGACAGTGAGTCATGTAATAAACTAATATCACAAAATAACTCTGAAAGAGAATATTTAAACAAGAGGCTGTGTGAAAAAGAGAAGAGATAACTAGGCTACTGGAGAGTGAGAGAGGAAGTGATCAAGAGAGTGTTTCCTTTGCTTTGTGGACATCAATAGGTGGATGATTCTCTTTATTGACTCTACAGTGTCTGTGTGAATCACAACGAAGGGTGAAGAATATTATGTGCAAACAGGATGCGAACAAACATAAACATACACTTTTATCACATTAATCACTGTTCTCTTCATCACACATTTGGAAGGGACGGAATTGCCTGAATAATATAGTATGAAATGCTAGTAAATGAATGATTGAACAGTAGAGGTTTCCTGATCTCATGAGTCATGCATGTGATGTTGAGCTTTTAAAGAAGGA